GCGTTCTACATGCTCTTCCTCTGTTCTCAGCTCCAGTTGTGAGGCTGAGATCTACGCCACAGCCATGGCTGCCCAGGAGCTACGCTGGCTCACCTACCTGCTGACAGACCTCGGAGAGCGGCCTCGTTCTCCTCCAGTGCTGTACGTCGACAACAAGGCAGCCATTGCCTTGTGTGAGGAGCACAGACTGGAGCACAGAACGAAGCACATCGCTCTGCGCTACTTCCTTGCTCGAGAGCTGCAGCAGCGTGGTTAGCTTCGTCTGCGTTACGTGGCCACTCAGGCCAACACTGCTGATGTGTTCACCAAGGCGCTTCAGCCTTATGATCATCAGCGTTTCTGTACTGTTCTAGGCCTTGTGCCTACTCTCCCTCACTTGCTCACTTCTTGACTCTGCTTGTACTGTGATCTCTATATATATACCTGCATGCTTTCACTTGCTAGGTTGTGATCACTGAACCTCTTGTTATATTATCAAACTGCATGTGAACTGGTCTTGTGACCACTTGCTTGTGCTCGGAATTTGTGTGGTATCCTTGAGATCCACCCTGAGCTTTGCTTTGCTTTGCTTTGCTTTGACTGGTCTTGTGACCCTCTGGTTGTCTCCCACTTCGCCTATGGGGGTGTGTCAAACATTGTATGTTTACATTGTGTAGGCTATAGTGGGTTTAGCCTTAGGGGGTACACAAACTTAGGGTTTCCTACTTGTACCCAACTTTGTGCTAGTTCAATCATTCCTGTTTCTTTCATTCTGACATAAAAATGCATTTAGACGTTGGCGCAGTGACATGTTGCGCACAGGCCTATCATTGCACAGATTCGGACCAGCGAACGCACAAACATGTGCCACGTGCTGCGTAGTTGTGCTACCGACCTCAAACCAGTTCCAATGGCTAGGGAATAGGATGTAGTAGGGAACTGTATGAAAAAAATAGTGCTAAAAAAGGCATCCAGACGTTGGTGCAGTGACATGTTGCGCACAGGCCTATCCTTGCACAGTTTCAGGCGAGCAAACGCACAAACATGCGCCACGTGCTGCGTGGTTGTGCTAACGAGGTCAAACCAGTTCCTATTTTTAGGTAATAGGATGTAGTAGAGAACTGTGTGAAGAAATTGTGGTAAAGAAGGCATTTAGACGTTGGCGCAGTGACATGTTGCGCACAGGCCTATCCTTGCACAGATTCGGGCCAGCGAACACACAAACATGCGTCACGTGCTGCGTAGTTGTGCTAACGAGGTCAAACCAGTTCCTATGGCTAGGCAATAGGATGTAGTAGAGAACTGTGTGAAGAAGTTGTGGTAAAAAAGGCATTTAGACGTTGGCGCAGTGACATCTTGCGCACAAGCCTATCCTTGCACTGATTCGGGCTAGCGAACGCACAAACATGCGCCACGTGCTGCGTAGTTGTGCGAACGACCTCAAACCAGTTTCAATGGCTAGGGAATAGGATGTAGTAGGGAACTGTATGAAGAAATAGTGCTATAAAATGCATCCAGACGTTGGCGTAGTGACATGTTGCGCACAGGCCTATCCTTGCACAGTTTCAGACCAGCAAACGCACAATCATGCGCCACGTGCTGCGTAGTTGTGCTAACGAGGTCAAACCAGTTCCTAAGGCTAGGTAATAGGATGTAGTAGAGAACTGTGTGAAGAAATAGTGCCAATAAAGGCATTTAGACGTTGGCGTAGTGACATTCACTAATCATCATACCGTACCAACATTAGAGCACTATTTTAGAATATAACGGAGCTCTTTTTCGAGGCCTTGAGCCAACAGGACACAAGTGCTCTGTTACAGGCCTCCACCATTGGTCCCCCGAGGCTGAGATGAAATTCTAAGATTGTTCCGAAGAATCATGTACGTTGCTAGACTGCCGTCGACAACAACACACCAATTTGCATAACACATAATATTATTGGAAATAACTGCTGAGACGGTATGTTCAGATCGTGTAAATGGTAACGGAAAACCAATGGAATTAAAATGCATCATTAATTAAAGTAGCAGAATCAGATGTCTAATATAACCAGGTGTAGAATTCAATAGTCAGTATAATGTTTTCGTTTCCACATTTAATGTTTCTGGAGAGTGTAGTAATATTACGTTCTATCCAGAATCAACACAGCAAATTCGTTCGGGACCCTGAGCCAATGGGACACGGCAGCCCTGTTCCAGGCCTCCCTGAAAAGTGCCGAAGCTGTGATGTCCCGCCGAAGCTGCCACCCTAAATGCTCGACCACTCAGGTCATTTCCGAAGCTGCCAAGCTGGCTGCCCAAGCCCTTACGAGGGTTCCGAAGGTACTTGGGCTGATTCCGTTTCGACGCGACGCGTCGAAAGTAGGTTTCCCCACTCAGTTCAATTTGTTACGTCAGACATACTCTCGGAAACCATACTTTTCGGAGGACCCCATTTTCGGGATGTAGTATGGCTGTCCTTGCTGTGCCGTCGAGTGCGGCGGGAATCCTGCCAGACTTCCTCTTGAAATTCGACCTTGCCGAGTTCGTTATTTGCCAATTTCGAACTGGTTTTCGTTTGCGTTAGCGAAATGACTCGCGTGCGTTATTCACTGTTCGCAACTTTCACCTGACAAATCGTGACTCATATTCTCAAAGTTTCCTCAACCCCTTGAGGCTTAGGGCTCACAAAGTGTGACTATCCGCCATTCCACCCTCCTAGACCTACAGCTTTTTTCTTAGGCGCCGCAGCCATGGCAGCATTTTGTAGGCAGCTCGGATCGCCAGCCGTGATGTGGATATCCTCGCATCTGGTTACTCGAATTTCGCCGAACGAGATCGTCACAACAACCTCTTATGCCCCTCGCAAACTTGATCCACTTCTCGCCACCCATCCCTCTCATCCGATCGATCTCCTTCGTCCGATCGCGTCTGGTTCGTTCTCCACCGTCCGATCCATCCCGTCAACGCCACCCAGTCCGTCGATTTCAAATGAAACAGCTAACCCTAATTTTGAACCTCCGTGAATGGCGCCGCAATTGGCGCCGCGAGTGGCGGCAAAGGGCAACGCCACTGCCAGGAGCAGAGGCGTCGAAAGTAGGTTTCCCCACTAATCCGAACAATCCTTTCATTGCTTCGGTTACAGGATTTGCCTCCCTCTCTGCAGCCATAACTGCAGCTTGAGTAGCTGTCTCCCTGCCGAGGGAAACCCAAAGTGGACAGCTGCACACACATGCGCACACGCACACGCACACGCACGCACACGCGCACCCACACGCACGCACGCACGCACGCACGCACGCACACACACACACACACACGGAAATAAAGAGAGCATCAGGGAGTGGCATCAAGTCCAAGAAGACATAGCGAAGTGGTGGAGATCGAGATAAGAAACACAGCTTGGCTCAAACATAGAGATTCCATAAAGAGAAACGGAGGGTGCGGAAGAATGAGAGGACTCAGATGTGTCGGCGAAAGAGGGAGAAAAATAATTGAGGATAGTGCCGGTATGCGAGCCAAAATGTGTGGACGGGCAGAAATGGGAGGGCGAGAAAGCAGAGCAAGATGGTGTAGAGTATGAAGGAGACAAAGAATGAAAGCAGCTGCAAGAGAAGCACGCAGAAGTTATAGTGAAGCATGCTGCCGAGCAATGAGAACTTAAGCCATGAGATACCGACCTCACGAGGTGAGTGTCAAAAGACGAGATGGATGGGAGGATGTGCTGGAGCGCCCAGTGGAAAGAACTATCTGTTGGCAGAGACACGGACAGGCAGATGTAGGACGAGGTGGATTTGGCGGAAATGAAGTGGCGGAGAAAACTGATATGTGCACCGCACTCATCGTGTGGTGAGGTGGAGAGCGGTACGCACGATATTGATTGAAGCAGCAGCAAACGAAGGACGCAGAGGGGATAGCTTGAATAACCCACCTTACAGGATGATAGAAGAGAGAATAACGACCTGGACGAATGGCTCAAGCAATTTGACAGCACAGGATGAAAGAGGTTCAACGGTAGGGCATGAGCGGCAACAGGATGGCTAGATCGGAGAATAGAATGTCGCGAGGGCGCAGCACCGATGGCACTGACATGTGTACCTTGTGTGTGGGAAGGGTTAGGTGAGCGAGACGGCATCAGGGACGTGCCAGGCGCTTCTCAGCAGACAGATTGACGAAGGGAGAAAGAGTCTCTGAGAAGAAAGAATGACAGGGTCTTACATTTTGACTCCAGGCAAGGCGCAACTGGCAGGAAGAATCTGAAAGCAACGGACAATCAGAAGTCGCTTGTTTGACTTAGAAAAGAGCACAGAGGGAGAAGCAGGCAGAAGAGGGACGAGAGTGAACGTGAGAGCATAGGAGGGAGCATACCACTTCATGCATGTCACCCAATCCCAACCGCTCGCGCTGCGCGCCAAACACATCTGTTCCCCATTCATCTCACCATTCGCATCTCTCCGTCCGATTCGCCAGCCCGTCGACGACATCGCACATCCGAATCCAAACCAGCTTGCATCCTACTACCCACGAGCTGCGCACACCACCGTATTGCGCGCCAAGGAGTTTCAAAGAGCGCTCGGATCACGCGCATGAGATTCCATTGCGTGGCAACTCGCGCTGGTACCTGAATGCCCAACAGGACCCATGGTTGACCTCTCCTTGCGAAGCGATTACCCTAATGCCTCAGCCCTTCGCCACCCAAGCGTTTATCGCCAGCGTGTTCCGCGCTAAGCAGCGCAGTGCTGAAGGGTTGCTTGCATGTCACCCTCGCAAGGCAAAGGCAAATTAGACATCAACTTCTCGAAGGTGCTCGTGGTGCCATCGCCTTTACTACTGGCTACGCGCACATTCGCGAGATAGTAGGCGAGCGACATAATCAAGCGTTTCGTATCCAGTCGTAGAACTCAGCTCCCTGACATGCATGCTTTTCATGACACGTGGCGTCACTGATGGCTATCGAATTTGGATGACGACCCGCGGGCTTGCTGACGCACATAGGTATTGTTGGCTAACAAATCCTCGCGACTATGTTCCGGTTTACTAGCTATGACGGCTGCAGAAAGCGGGGATGATTATGTGGAGGAAATTGGCGAAAAGGTATGTGATGGGAAAGTAGTAGGCGTGTTTCATGCTTTGCGTTTCTTTGCAGTAACCACATCTGTTCACAAAACACAGATCTTCTCGCCAAACGAGCAGTGCCGTGAACCAGCGAGACCACAAAACCAAGCCCTGTGTCGTTTTCAGTTACCCCGGCAGGTGTCTTGAGCGAGGTGCAACAAACGCGTCCTATCGACGGAACTTGCTCGCTTGCATCGCTTGCTCCCCCTTCTCCTGTTACTCATTTTTATGAAGGCACTCGCATTTCGAAACATTCACAGTCGCTCACGTGACGAGATCTGCGCGACACCTGTTACCTCGATGATGCCCGTTCGACAACTTCGTACACATTTCGCTGATGACGGTGATATACCACTCTGATGGAAGAGTGCTGCTTAGGCTAGGATGCGCATCACCTATCAGGGGCACTAGGAGTCATTGGGACTTGGCGTTACTACTTACCAATACAGAATCTTTCGAACAGGCATAGCGGTAAGTATCTGTCATCCGTCTATAATACCTCCCTCTTCAAACTAGTTTGTCTGCTTGTCTCGAAACCGCTTGCTCGCTAGAGCCTCCGTCATTTTAACTCTGAGTCGCTTCATAGCCATCTCATTTTGATTAGTGGAATTCACAACCACTGCACATTTCAGATCGTTTGGCGTGCTCGGCGCCCATTGCGGAGCTCAGATTCAAGTATCAACTCTTAGACGTCCTAGTTTCACGACGTTTCGATCCGCGAAACCCTAGATGGCCTGAGGTAAGGCTGGTCGTGTCATTCCATTCCCTTCGGCTCGCATACCGGCACTACCCTCATTTTCCTCCTTCTCTCATGGTCCCTTTTCCTATCCCTCCCTACCGTCTCCATTCCACGTTCCCAGCGCGTAGGGCGCTGAAATGATATCGTAGTTAACAGTCGTTTAGCCATGCATGGAGTCGTCACGCTTCTATTCTCTTATTAGGATGCTCTCACTAGGGCAAACTGACCGTCATCGGAAATTTACTGCCATGTGACGTGCCAAGCGTGAGGCAAAATGAATATAGGCATTGCCACCGCACCCCACTGCACCTCATTCCATGCGCACCGCACCGCCACTCAGGGTACATTCCGCTGTGGACCATGTCCCAATCGATGTGTCCCAATCGAGTGTACCGCTCCGAACCGAACTAAACCAGAGACGCGAAAATTTCGACAATGTTTGAAACTAGGGTGTAATTTGGTGTAATACGATGCAGTGCGGTAGAATCGATTCAGACACTTTCGATTGGGACATGTCCAGAGCGGAATGTACCCTCATTCGACGCTCACCGCACCTCATTCCACACGCCCCACACCGCACCGCACCTCATTCCACGTGCACCGCATCGCACCTGACCTCATCCCACGCGCACCTCACCGCTCCTCATGCCACGCGCACCGCACAGCACCGCACCTCATTCCATGCGCACCGCACCGCACCTCATTCCACGTGCACCGCACCGCACCGCACCCGATTCCATGCGCACCTCACCGCATTCCACATGCACCGCACCGCACCTCACGCACCGCATCACACCGCACCTCATCCCGCGTGCACTGCACCGCACCGCACCTCATGCCATGCGCACCGCACAGCACTGCACCTCATTCCACGCGCACTGCACCACACCATACCTCATTCCACACCATGCGCACCGCACAGCACCGCAACTCATTCCACGCGCACCGCACCTCATTCCACTCTCACCGCACCTCATTCCACGCACACCACACCTCATTTCACTCGCACCGCACCTCATTCCACGCGCGCCGCACCTCATTCCACGCGCGCCGCACCTCATTCCACGCACACTGCACCGCACCACACCTCATTCCACGCGCACCGCACCTCATTCCACGCGCACCAACGTGTGACCTGACGTTGCTGCAAGTCCCATGGCAAGCCGTGGACGACGGGAGGAAGGGGACCCCGGGGGGGTAGGGGATGGGGAGGGGGAAAAGGTGGTGTTGTTCTTTGGTGGGGTTTTGTGTATAGGGGGAGGGCGGAGTTGAAGGGAGGGTGAGGGAGGGGGGGGGGGGGGGGTAGGGGAAGGGGAAGGGGGTGGGAAAGGGGGGAGGGGAAGGGCGAATATGCGGGAGAATTTGAGGTGAGGGGTTTGGCGCCATAGGAGGAAGAAGACAGGTAGAGTTTTCTCATAGCGGGTTTCGAGTCGAGTCGCTGTGGGTTTCTCATAGGGTTTCGAGTCGAGACGCTGTGGGTGGAAGCTTGAATATCTGCTAGAGCTGTGCTAGCTCGCATTTCCACTACCGAGCTCTAGTCACGAGCAGCGGGTGAGGCCAGAAATGCTCGCCTCGTTTCAGTTTGCCTTGTCTACTAACGAGGTGTGGCGAGGAGTATCACTAACACGCTGAGTCGAGTAATCTCCCCTCTCCGCCGCCTCGTTACTCTCCTTGGAGCGAGTTTTTCTTGTCCTGGACGAGGCAAGCAACACTCGCCTCGCCCTCAACACCCTTGCAAAAAACCCACCCTCGCCTAAAAACGAGTATCCACTCTGCTCCCCCTCCAACCGCACATGAAAATACACGTCTTTCTCCACCTGAGACCACCCTAACTAACAAGCAAGTAATTCTGAAATTGATCGAGAAGCCGTGCAAGGGGCTAATTGCAATGAGATTTTACTCGCAAGTAGGTTATGCCCCGCTCAGCTGAAGAGAAACAAATACTCGTTTACTGGACAAGCGGGTACTTGCCTCGCCTCGGTTGAGTAGTTCAAATGAGACGAGGCCTCAGTCTCTGCCAATTTGAGTAATCAAACCCAGGCAAGTATTAACTCGCCGTTCGCCCATGTCAACTTGATTTGAATGTCTCTCCCTCCTGCTCCTTGTTATCTTGTGCGTCTCCCGGATTACCTCCATGCCTTCTCCTCCACCTGGTTTTGATTTTCCATAGACAAAGCCATCCATTTCGGGCAGTCCGCAGGCAGGAAGGGGCCGGCTGAGCCAGTAACGTACGAGAACAACCCTTTCTATTCAAGGCAGCTTCACCAGTTACACATTCGCTAAAAGTGTTCGCGGTTCCGAAACTTCATATTCGGCCATGTAATGACATCTCTGCAGCACCCGGTACCGCATTGATGTGTGTTCGGCACCTTGGAACACTCTTGGTTTGAATGAATTGAAGTTTAGTCTGGTTGCCCAGCTTTACACCTTCGGAACGGAGTGCAACTAACGAGAAAAACCAATCAGCGTGAGTTGATGTGAAGATTACACCCGAGTGCTGCTGTTGCAGTAGTTACCACCAATCATCCACCTAGTATTTCTCCACTGTCCTCACGCTATCATATGATTCTTCTCTTCTCCTCCGTTTACTCCTCGCGCATTTGCTCTCTTCCCCTCCGTCTATCAATTCTCAAAGCCAGAACTTCAGAGCTGCGTGTAGCATCTTGCGCCTGGATGGTCGTGTCCGAACACTGAATGCTTCTCGGGCCGTGCATTTATTCCAACTTGGGCTGTTACATGAATGGCCATTCCTTTCCTTGTCATTCATTTCCTCTTGATTCGACCACCTCCAGAGAATCAAGGCAGCATCAGGAGGGACCAAGCTGAGCCTGACGAGTCTCCACGGCCTCTCAGACGACATCCTCGCCCATGTGTCCACCATGAGCCATCTGAAGAGCATTGACCTGGACTCTAGCTCAGGTTTCAGTACAGAGGGCATGAAGCACCTCTACAGGCTTCCACGCCTGGAGACGCTGGATTTCAATAACACAAACCTCGATGACAGTGCCTTGGGAGGCATTGGGTCCATTGTTGGGCTCAAGCACCTCTATCTCCATCGTACCAAGGTGACAGACGCGGGTCTGCCGCACTTTGCACACTTCTCATCTCTGAAAAATCTGAGGCTCTCTGAATGCAAGGGTGTGACAAATTCTGGCATGGTGCATGTGGGGAGGCTGATAGGGATAGAGAAACTTTGGCTGCATGGCACGGCAGTCACGGATGATGGGCTGCAGCAGCTGACTGCCCTGACGAAGCTGTCAAATGGGAATATGGTCACCGATGAGGATGTGCCCAGGTGGATAGGCAGGAGGTAGGGTGACAGGCTATGGAGGGAAAGGGGTGTGGAGGAGTGTGCAAGTTGACTTGGCAAAGCCTTTCCTGTGTACAGCCTAGAGTAGCTTACCGTACGTATGATTTGTACATAAACAGCAGGGGGGTGTGTATGCATTTTAGACCATGGAGGGGGCATGCACGAGGGTGCATGGCCTTGTCAAATGTAATTCTATGCTTGTAGGCTACAGTGAGTAGCACAATAGGGAGTACAGTTGTTAGGGTTGCATATTTGTACTTCCACACTTGCTAGTTTCATCATTCCGTTGCATTCTACTCTTAAGATGGTATCATTGTAGGTTCGAGTTCCTTAGCCCTAGCCTAGCCTTAGCCTAGTCTTAGCGCCCTCCGCGCCTTAGCGCCCTCCGCGCCCTCCGTGCCCTCCGCGCCCTCCGTGCCCTCCGCGCCCTCCGCACGTTCGTCCCCTCCGCGCCCTCCGCACGTTAGTGCCCTCCGCGCCCTCCGTGCCCTCCGCGCCCTCCGCACGTTCGTGCCCTCCGCGCCCTCCGCATGTTAGTACCCTCCGCGCCCTCCACGCCCTCACCGCGCGCCTAGCCCGGCCCCTCCCACTGTCGCGCCCTCCCCCTACCCGTCGCGCCCTTCCCCCCTGACCGTCGCGCCCTCCCCCCTGACCGTCGCGCCCTCCCCCTGCCCGTCGCGCCCTCCCCCTGCCCGTCGCGCCCTCCCCCTCCCCGTCGCGTCGCCACCCCTCCCCTTCCCCTCCCCGTCGCGTCGCCTCCCCTCCTCCTGCCCGTCGCGTTCGCCTCCCCTCCTCATGCCCGTCGTGTCGCCTCCCTTCCCCCTGCCCGTCGCGTTCGCCTCCCTTCCCCCTGCCCGTCGCGTCGCCTCCCCTCCTCCTGCCCGTCGCGTTCGCCTCCCTTCCCCCTGCCCGTCGCGTCGCCTCCCCTCCTCCTGCCCGTCGCGTTCGCCTCCCCTCCTCCTGCCCGTCGCGTCGCCTCCCTTCCCCCTGCCCGTCGCGTCGCCTCCCCTCCTCCTGCCCGTCGCGTTCGCCTCCCTTCCCCCTGCCCGTCGCGTCGCCTCCCCTCCTCCTGCCCGTCGCGTTCGCCTCCCCTCCTCCTGCCCGTCGCGTCGCCTCCCTTCCCCCTGCCCGTCGCGTCGCCTCCCCTCCTCCTGCCCGTCGCGTCGCCTCCCCTCCTCCTGCCCGTCGCGTTCGCCTCCCCTTCCCCTGCCCGTCGCGTCGCCTCCCTTCCCCCTGCCCGTCGCGTCGCCCTCCCCTCCCAATCCCGTCGCCCTCCCTTGCCCATCGCGTCAACCTCCCCTCCCCGCCCATTTCCCACCGTCAGATCCTCCTCCCACCCATTTTCACCGTCGCATTCGGCCTCCCCGCCCCTCTCTCACTGTTCATCACCTTAGCCCCACCACCGCCTTGTGCGCGGGGCCCTTCCCAGCTCTGCTGACACTGGTCTATCCCTCAGCGGCTGGCAGCCGCTCTCTCTCGCCGGTCACCTAGGTTAGAGCCGTTTTAGCCGCTCATACCTCGCTCCTCGCACCTGTAGCTGGCGATCCATGATTTCACGCCTAGTCTAGGTCGCTCGGTACTCCTAGTCGCTCGCTCCGCCGCTTTCTCTCCTGGCGCTCCGTAGTTTTCCTCCTCGTTCTTAGCTCCGCCTCCGCCGTGCTCCAGCCGCCTCTAGCATGGGCTCCGCTATGGAGGCCCGTCGCCTCCGTTTCGATGCGGAGGGACGCCCAATCGAGTTCGGTACCTGGCAGCGCCAGACCACGCGCTTCCTCACCAGCCAGCGACAGGACGGCGCCACTCTGTGGGCTCACGCGTCTGGTGCCCTACAGGCCCCCCCGTCCCCCGCCGCCCTGCCGACCACCCCGGAGCCGACCCCTACGGCCCAGGCGGAGTACGACCGTCGGGTCCTGGCCAGGGACGTGTGGCTCTCGCGTGACGCTGCCGCCGCTCTCACACTATCGGAGCTTCTCCCCCCGACTGAGGCCGCCCACTTTGACCAGGTGGAGACAGCCCAGGGGGTGTGGGATGCTATTGTTGCCCGCTATTCCACCCCCTCCTCTGCCTCCCTCAGTCGCCTCCTCATGCCGTTTGTGTTTCCCGACCTCGGCTCGTTTGCGACTGTTTCCGACCTAGTGACTCACCTCCGCTCGCTTGACGCCGGTTTCCGTGCTGCTTGTACCGACGCACAGCTCCTTGTTGCTCCCCCCTCCATGTGGCTCACTGTGCACTGGTTAGTCACCCGCCTCCCTGACCGCCTTGCCACTGCCCGCGACGCGCTTCTTCAGAAGCACCCCACTGAGCTCACTATAGACCTCCTTCAGACTGCTCTCGGGACCATCGAGAGCAGTCTCCTCACCGTTGCCTCCGCCACTGATGCGGTGGCCCCCCGTCTCTTTGCGGGGTGTGCCGCCCCTCAGCTTCCCACTTTCACCGCTACCCGCGCTTCTGCTGCTGTGTCAGTCGCTGAGGACACCGCTGCCGTTTCTGCCGCAGACTGGCAGAAACGGGGCAAGAGTGGCAAGAAGGGCGGGAAGGGGGGAGGTGGGGGCGGTGGAGGCGGCGGTGGAGGTGGCGGTGGAGGTGGGAGCGGCGGTGGTGGCGGAGGCGGCGGCGGCGGCGGTGGTGCACCAGGGGGAGGGGGCTTTGGAGGAGGTGCTGGACAGACAGGCCCACCCACAGGTGGTGGCCCGACCGGTGGGGGCGTTCCCCCCCAGCAGCAGCAGCCACAGCGGCACCTGCTGCCTGCCACAGCAGGGACAGCAGCAGCAGCAGGGACAGCAGCACCAGCAGGCGCCGCAGCAGTTCCAGCAGTGGGGGCCCCCGCTGCAG